TTGCCAGTCTGCGTCTTTTGATTAGGGCATTTAGTTCATTCACATTTAATGTTAGTATTGTTATGTGTGAATTTGGTCCTGCCATTTTATTACTGGTTGGTTGTTTTGCCCTTTGGTTGGCATAATTTCTTCATTGTTGGTCTTTACCATTTTGTTCTTTTTTGCAGTGGCTGGTACTAGTTTTTCCTTTCTGTGTTTAGTGCTTCCTTCAGGAGCTCTTGTAGGGCAGGTCCGGTAGTGACAAAATCTCTCAGTAATTGCTTATCTGTAAAGGATTTCATTTCTCCATCACTTTTCAAGCTTAGTTTGGCTGTATATGAAATTCAGGGTTGAAAGTTCTTTTCTTTAAGGATGTTGAACCCTACAAGCCCTCACTCTCTTCTGGCTTGTAGGGTTCTGCCGAGAGATCCACTGTGAGTCTGATGGGCTTCCCTTTGTGGGTGACCCGACCTTTCTCTCTGGCTGCCCTTAGTATTCTTTCCTTCATTTCAACCCTGGTGAACCTGATGATTATGTGCCTTGGGGTTGCTCTTCTAGAGGAGTATTGTTGTGGCGTTCTCTGTATTTCCTGCATTTGAATGTTAGCCTGCCTTGCTAGGTTGGGGAAGTTCTCCTGGATAATATACCGAAGAGTGTTTTCCAGCTTGGATTCATTCTCCCCGTCATCTTTTGGTAAACCAATCAGGCATAGATTAGGTCTTTTCACGTGATCTCATATTTTTTGAAGGCTTTGTTAATTTCTTTTCACTCTTTGTTCTCTTTTCTTGCCTTCTCGTTTTATTTCATTAAGTTGTTCTTCAATCTCTGATATCCTTTCTTCCGCTTGATCTATTCAGCTATTAAAACTTGTGTATGTTTTGTGAAGTCTTGTGCTGTGTTTTTCAGCTACATCAAGTTGTTTATATTCTTCTCTAAGCTGGTTATTCTAGTTAGCATTTCATCTAGCCTTTTTTCACCGTTTTCAGTTTTTTTGGATTGGGATAGATAGAACACGTTCCTTTAACTCAGAGAAGTTTGTTATTACCCACCTTCTGAAGCCTGCTTCTGTCAATTCGTCAAATTGGTTCTCCAACCTGCTTTGTTCCCTTGCTGGTGAAGAATTGTGATCTCGTGGTGGGGGAGAGACCTTCTGGTTTTTGATGGTTTCATTCTTCTTGCACTGGTTTCTTCCCATCTCGTTGGATTTATATAGTTTTGATCTCAGGTAACTGCTTGAGGAGGCGGCCTTTCCTTTGTCTGCCTGCAGAGGTGCTGCTGGGCTGCCACAGATTCAGTGGAGCTGCTGCGTCTTTCATTTAGTCAGGAAAATTAGGACGGCTTCTGCAATGACGGCTTCCCTTCCCCTCGCTGAGCTCGATCATTCCTGGTTGCTCTCTAACTGATGTTCTGGGTGCATAACTCTGGAGTGAGAGTTTTTTAGCCTGCTGGGCTTTGTGCAGGGGCAGAGGGGAACCATCCTGCCGTTTGGGCTGTTTCACTGCATTCAGTTCCCCTTCTTACTGGGAGGCACGTAGCTCTGTCCCGCCGGCTTTTTGGCTTTCTCGGAGTCAGCCAGTGCTTCCACCTAGATCTATGCTGACAGCCCCCAGCGCTGGCCGAAGTTTCTGTTCTGCCCTGTGCTGCCCTGTTCAGGCAGCTTGCTGAGGCTTTTCAGCCCAGTGAGGATCTCCTGTTCTGTGGGTTGTAGAGGGCTTGGGTGGAGCACTGTATCCAAACCGAACTCCAAGAGGAGGAGATCCCCTGGTCCTCCGGTGGGTTGTATGCACCTCCTGGGTGGGGCAGTGCCCTGCCTTGCCTCAACTTGCCCTATTTGGTTTATACCCACCGTCCAACCAGACCCACAAAATGAACCTGGTACCTTGTTTGGAATTGTGGAGATGACTCAGCTTCTTTGTCTCTCTTGCTAGGAGCTGCTTTCTGGAGCTGCCTCTTAATGAGCCATCTTGGGATCTCCCACCCACATTATATTATTTAAAGCACTGTTTTCTATAAAACTAATCACAATGGTGATATCCTATAGCAGGCAACTTGCACTATGTCATAGTATACGGAAAACAAGGGAAAGAATGAGGACACCCCCCACATGAAGTGCCAACTTCCCACTTAGTCAACCTTGAAATCATACACAACACATCGTCCACATCAAATGTGAGGGTTATTTATAAATATCAGTAAAGTTTAACTTCTTTCTTACATTTGCAGACAAAAACAAATGGAAAAGTTCTTATATCATCTTCCTATACCCCAAATGGATCATCCTGAATATTTAGTCCTCAGCATCCCAACTATCTACTTTGGTACCATCCCCAGGGGCAGCCCATTCTGGAGATCCCAAGCTCCAAAACTCCTTCTTACTCCATCTTTACTTGTTTCCCTGCATCCACATGAAATGCCCTATACTATTGGTAGTATTGTGAGCTGACAAAGCAGTCTTGTTAAAACCCTAGGATTTATGGATTTGTGATTCCATTTAGAAGATTCATTTTGCAGGCTGTGCCTTCCTCTCCAAGCATTTGATTCCTATACCCTCCAGATATTTCCCTCATGAAGCACATATCATGCTTCAGGGAAACAGTCCTTATTTTGATAGTCTGCTCCCCCTTAGCTGGCTCTGCAACTTTCCTTATTCTCATATCTACTCCACGAATATCTCTGTGTTAAATATTCCTAATATGGCCAGGCTCAGTGGCTCAAGCCTATAATCTCAGCACTTTGGGAGGCTGAAGTAGGAGGACTCCTTGAGCCCAGGAGTTTGAGGCCAGCCTAGACAATGTAGGGAGACCTTGTCTCTACAAAAAATTTTAAAAATTAGCAAGGTGTGGCGGTGTACACCTGTGGTCCCAGCTAGAGGTGCTGATGAGGGAGCATTGCTTGAGCCCTGTAGGTTGAGGCTACAGTGAGTCATGATCGCACCACTGCACTCCAGCCTGGGTGACAGAGTGAGACTGTCTCAAAACACAAACAAAAAACAAACAACAACAACAAAAACACCTAATATGTTTGGATTTCTTCATGCTCCTGCTCAGAGGGAGGCCTCTTTGACTTGCAGAAAAAAACCCTAGAGCGCTGGCTCACGCCTGTAATCCCAGCACTTTGGGAGGCCGAGGCAGGTGGATCATGAGGTCAAGAGATTGAGACCATCCTGGCCAACATGGTGAAACCCCGTCTCTACTAAAAATACAAAAATTAGCCAGGCATTTGGCATGCACCTGTAGTCCCAGCTACTTGGGAGGCTGAGGTGGAAGACTCGCTTGAACCCGGGAGGCAGAGGTTGCAATGAGCCGAGACTGTGCCACTGTGTTCCAGCCTGGCAACAGAGCAAGACTCCGTCTCAAAAAGCAAAAAAACAAAAACCCTAGAATCAACTTCCTAAGACAACTTTCTTTTATTCCATGGGGCCAAATAACCTGGTTTCCAATATCTGATTCCACCTTGAACTCACACTGCATGGATCCTCATTCTGTAAACCACAGCCTAATACCTTGTGTGCAAAGCAGGATAACGCCTTTCCCCACTCACTTTGGTATATTTTTAAGAAAAATTATTTTGCATAGTTAACTTTTAGATTAAGGGTATGTTGCTTTTTATTCATGGGATACCTAAGAAATAAAATCCCAAGAAATCCTGTATCTTATTCTAAAATGCAGGCCAGGCCAGTTGCAATGGCTCACGCCTGTACTTCTAAAGTCTTGGGAGGCTGAGACTGGAGGATCATTCAAGGCCAGGAGTTCAAGACCAGCCTGGGCAACATAGTGAGACTACCATTCCTAAAAACATTGAGAAAATAGCTGGGCATGGTAGTGTGCACCTATATAGTCCTAGCTACTTAGGAGGATTGCTTGAGCCCAGGAGTTTGTGCTTATAGTGAGCTATGATTGTACCACTGCACTCCAGCCTGGGCAACAGAGAGAGACCCTACCTCAAAAAATAATGATAATAATCATACTAATAAAATACAGTGCAGGGCACATTAAATCAGTATATAAGTGAGCAAATAAGTCATTCAAACATTAAAGTGTATGCACTGAGTAACAATTCAGAAGTGGTGAGAGGGTATAAGCCCTCCGTCAAAGGATATTTCCATTTGCTTAAATTCCCCTACTACTAAATGCTCTTTCCTGAATTGCCTCAAGGCCCCTGGCTCATTGATCCCTGGTCTCTGTTGGCAGGTCACTCTTTGAAACATCCTCCCTAGCACCTCCTTCTCCTCCTCCTCCATCATGTTGTACCCTGGACTGTATTTTACTTTTCTTCATGGTGATTACTCTCTAGCACTGATGGGTGTTTTCTGTCTGTCCTACCAGAATGTGAGCTCTACAAGGGTAAGAACTTTGGGTTTATGTCTGGGCAGCACTCTCCTCCAGATTCAGCTGGAAGCAGGCAACCCTTTTCATGTTAGACTCTCCATCCTGTGCTTTGAGCACATGCTAGATGTCAAAAAGCCCCTTACAGCAGGGCTCCCTCTTGTTATCTGTTCTCAGTAGAGGAATGTTAATGATGAAATGGGATGATGAGCAGGGGCTAATGCTGCCCACAGGAAAACTGCACCAGCAGTCATATAAACTTCCTCTCCCATCCTTAGCTGATGTCAGAAATCCATGGTTTGACAATGTGACAGCAATATCAATTATGGCACAGCCCTGAACGAATTATGCACACCATGAAGTAAACAAGACTGACTTGGCCTTGTGCCTTATGCAGCACAAAAGCTGGACCACACATTTGCAGTCCTCATATTCAAGACCTCAGAGGGTCAAGCTATTATCTCACAGCATAAAATTAAAACCATAAGTAAATAAAAGGACCACCAAATGCAAGTGAGGGGAGTATAGCTAAGGATCTTGGGCCCATATCCAGGCTCACCCAGAGAGTATCCTTCCATACAAAAGCTAACATATATTATTCAACACCATGTGTTTAATAATTTTACACATGTTAACTCAATCTTCCTCACAATTCTATTAGGTAAGTACTATTAATATTCATATTAGGGGTCCTGCCTGCAAACGCGTCTGCAAGTCGAGATGTCGCACCTGTCCCCCCAAGCCAAGCCCTCCAACCCCAGTAACCCTCGAGTCTTCTTTGACGTGGACGTCGGAGGGGAGCGAGTGGGTCGAATTGTCTTAGAATTGTTTGCAGATATTGTACCCAAAACTGCGGAAAATTTTCGTGCAGTGTGTACAGGAGAAAAAGGCATTGGACCTGTCACGACTGGAAAACCTCTCCATTTCAAAGGATGCCCTTTTCATCGAATTATTAAGAAATTTATGATCCAGGGTGGAGACTTCTCAAATCAGAATGGGGCAGGTGGAGAAAGTATTAATGGTGAAAAATTTGAAGATGAAAATTTCCATTATAAGCTTGATCGGGAGGGTTTACTGAGTATGGCAAATGCAGGCCGCAACACAAATGGCTCTCAGTTTGTTTTTTTTTTTTTTTGAGACGGAGTTTCACTCATGTTACCCAGGCTGGAGTGCAATGGCGCAATCTCGGCTCACCGCAACCTCTGCCTCCTGGGTTCAGGCAATTCTCCTGCCTCAGCCTCCTGAGTAGCTGGGATTACAGGCACATACCACCGTGCCCAGCTAATTTTTTGTATTTTTAGTAGAGACAGGGTTTCACCATGTTGACCAGGATGGTCTCGATCTCTTGACCTCGTGATCCACCCGCCTCGGCCTCCCAAAGTGCTGGGATTACAGGCTTGAGCCACCGCGCCCGGCTGGCACTCAGTTTTTTATCACAACAGTTCCAACTCCTCATTTGGATGGGAAACATGTGGTGTTTGGCCAAGTAATTAAAGGAATAGGAGTGGCAAGGATATTGGAAAACGTAGAAGTGAAAGGTGAAAAACCTGCCAAATTTTGCATTATTGCAGAATGTGGAGAATTGAAGGAAGGAGATGATTGGGGAATATTCCCAAAAGATGGCTCTGGCGACAGTCATCCAGATTTCCCTGAGGATTCAGATATAGATTTAGAAGATGTAGATAAAATTTTATTAATAACGGAAGACTTAAAAAACATTGGAAATACTTTTTTCAAATCCCAGAACTGGGAGATGGTCATTAAAAAATATGCAAAAGTTTTAAGATATGTTGACAGTTCAAAGGCTGTTATCGAGACAGCAGATAGAGCCAAGCTGCAACCTATAGCTTTAAGCTGTGTACTGAATATTGGTGCTTGTAAACTGACGATGTCAAATTGGCAGGAAGCAATTGACAGTTTGGAGGCTCTTGAAATAGACCCATCAAATACCAAGGCATTGTACCGAAGAGCTCAAGGATGGCAAGGATTAAAAGAATATGATCAAGCATTGACTGATCTTAAAAAAGCTCAGGAGATAGCACCAGAAGATAAAGCTATCCAGGCAGAATTGCTGAAAGTCAAACAAATGATAAAGACACAGAAACATAAAGAGAGGCAGTATATGCAAAAATGTTTGCTTAGTAAGGATTCAATTTTGCTTATTGTGTGATTGTATAAATGCAATAAGAAAATTTAAAGGTTTTGTCTATTAATATGATCCCTAATATGTTTCTTTTTACACCTCAGTTCCTCATTGTTTACAGTTTAGGAGTACTGATAGGGGTTCATGCTTAATAAACATGTTACAATACAGTAAAATATATATATATATTCATATTAAGACTTCAGAAAATGGAAACTTACATAACTTGCCAAAAGTCACAAGGGTAGAAACTTGTAGAGCCAGGATTTGAATCCAGAAGCCATATGTTCAAGATAAAACATCATAAATATTGGTCGTCATCTGGAAGTACACCAGTTAAACTACAACTGCACTTCCAACTCTATTGAAAGCTCTAAAGAGCTCACAGTTGGGAGTTGCGAATGAGAAGGAAGTGGACTACACTCATGCACAATTCCACGCTTAGGACAGTTTGGGGTGCTTTACTTACTGCATGCCAGGTAGATCCAGCCGTGAGCTCTGATTTCTCCAGCAGGACCACATCTTTCATCCCCGCTTTGGCGAGGTGATAAGCCAGACTCACACCAACACAGCCACCTCCAATTATCACTGTTTCTGCTCTGTCTTTCCACCGTGTTTCTGCAGATAAAGGTAGTTTTTCCTCTCTAGAAGAGATGAAGTTAAAATGGGACGTTTACTCGGTGATGGTAGTTATAGTCCTGGCACTTCCCCTTACCGGTTTCTCTAATACTTAACACCCACTGACTGAGATTTGCATGATACTGATTTAATAATTTGGAACGTCTAAACTGTGACTTAGGCAACCTGGTTGGGGGAGGAGTATTTGAGCCCCATTCCATATAATGATTCTGGTCCATTGAAGCTACTATAGCCAAAGAAATAAACAGTAGCTTCTTTTTTTCAAAGAATCTAGAGAATAGGTCGGGTTTGGTGGCTTACACCTGTAATCCCAGCAGTTTGGGAGGCCAAGGTGGGAAGATTGCTTGAGCCCAGGAGTTCAAGATGATCCTGGGCAACATGATGAAACCCCATCTCTATAAAAATACAAAAATTAGCCAGGTGTGGTGGTACATGCCTATAGTCTCAGCTACTTGGGTGGCTGAGGTAAGAGGATTGCTTGAGCCCAGGAGGTTGAGTTGAGGCTGCAGTGAGCCATGATTGTGCAACTACACTCAAACCTGTCCAAAAATATATATAATAATAATAAAAAAGATTTAAAATGGTACATCTATCTGGGTACTTTACCATGAATGGAGCTTGTAGGACTGGAAGTGGCTCTAGATGAGTCTGAGTAAGTGGTGAGTGAATGTGAAGGCCTAGGAGATACTGTACACTACTGTAGGCTTTATAAACATTGGACACTTAGGTTACACCAAGTTTATTTTAAAATATATTTTTCTTTTTTCAATAATAAGTTAACAGCTTGCTATAACTTTGTTACCTTTATAAGCTTTTAAATGTTTTTTGACTTTTTAATAACACAGTTTAAAATGCAAACTCATTCTACAGAAACATGTTCTTTCTTTATATCCTTATTCTGGAAATTTTTTCTATTAAAATATCTTCTTTTTTTTAAGTTTTCAATTTTTTTTTCAAGACAGCGTCTTACTCTGTTGCCCAGCCTAGAGTACAGTGGCTCAATCTTAGCTCACTGCAACCTTTGCCTACCCGGTTCAAGCGATTCTCCTGCCTCAGCCTTCCGGGTAGCTGTGATTACAGGTGCACACCACCACACCCAGCTAATGTTTCTGTTTTTAGTAGAGACGGGGTTTCACCATGTTGGCCAGGCTGGTCTCAAATTCCTGACCTCAAGTTATCCTCCTTCGTCTCCGAAAGTGCTGGGATTACAGGCATGAGCCACTGCACCCAGCCTCAAACTTTCTTATCAAAAACTAAGACACAGCTGGGCCCAGTGGCCCACTGTAATCCCAGCATTTTGGGAGGCCGAGGCAGGTGGATCATGAGGTCAAGAGATCGAGACCATCCTGGCCAACATGATGAAACCCCATCTCTGCTGAAAATACAAAAATTAGCTGGGCATGGTGGTGCACGCCTGTAGTCCCAGCTACTCAGGAGGCTGAGGCAGGAGAATCACTTGAACACTGGAGGCAGAGGTTGCAGTGAGCCGAGATTGCAGCACTGCACTCCAGCCTGGCAACAGAGTGAGGCTTCAACAATAACAACAACAACAACAAAAAAACACACACAAAAAACTAAGACACAAACACACACATTAGCCAAGGCATACACAGGGTCAGGATCATCATCACTGTCTTCACACCTCTGCATCTTATCCCACTGGAGGATCTTCAGGGGCAATAATGTATACACTGTTGTCATCTCAGGGTCTCATTCCATCACCCAGGCTGGAGTGTAGTGGTGTCATCTCTGTAAGTTCTGCCTGCCAGGTTGAAACGGTTCTCATGCCTTAGTCTCCTGAGTAGCTGGCATTACAGACATGTACCACAAAGCCCAGCTAATTTTTGTATTTTTAGTACAGATGGGGTTTCACCATGTTGGCCAGGCTGGTCTTGCACTCCTGGCCTCAAGTGATCTGCCTGACTTGGCCTCCCAGAGTGCTGGGATTACTGGTGTGAGCCACCAGGCCCTGCCATAGCTATCATCTCTTATGATAACAATGCCTTCTTCTGGAATACCTCCTGAAGGAACTGTCTGAGCCTATTTTACTGTTAACATCTTATTTTATAAGTAGAAGGAGTATACTCTAAAATAATGATTAAAAGTATAGTGTAGCCGGGCGCGGTGGCTCACACCTGTAATCCCAGCACTTTGGGAGGCCGAGGCGG